GCACTGCCAGGATTTTGTCAAAATGCAAATACTTTTTTTTTTTTAATTAAGGGAAAAGGTTTCAAGAGAAAAATTAAAAAATGCTAATAATGTGAACTCTTAATGAGAGACACTTATTAGACACACTACCTTTAAAAAGTAAATTTAACAAAACTAAACAAATAATGTAATAAGTGATATATTCCCCAGGCTAAAGCAAAGACCACTTGGACTTTTTTACCTTAGCACGGGCTATTTTTTTTTTTTTATTCTGTCTTGACTGATCTTTATTCTGTTTTTTAAGTTTTCTGTTCAGGAGTATGTGTTAGTACTCTAACATATCCAATTGTCATCTCAATTGTCATTGTTTTTTTTTTCTGTTTGCACAAGAGGGAGGAGGCAAGACTTTCTCCTAAAAGATCCTGATTAAATAATACACTGTTAGGAGAAATCAGCATCACCAAAGTTATGCCCCCACCCTGTGGCTGAGTGAGAAAGTTGTTAGTTTTAAATTTGTTAATTTGTAAGCTCTGTCTCCTGTGTTTTCCTTAAAAAATCTTACTATAATTTCATTTCTGTAGCAAGTGCTGAGACAGGATCCCATTGCAGCATCATTGGGATGTTACKGGAGCGATGCCTGCGCTGCTGGAGGGTGAGTGCCTTTTTGTCGAGTGTACGAGCTACATTGCTTCAAAACACTCTTCTAGCTTTAGTGGCAGTATCGAAAGCATTACTATGTAAGGATTTTTAAAAGGTGACTGGAAAGGTTAAAATGTTAAGGAAATGAGAAATTGATATCACATTAGCACAAAATAGAGAGCTTGGTCATATTATGTAATTTTGCCATTTATAAACTTCCCGTGCATCTTGTTTCCAGGATAAAACTSTCTCCATGGTTATTGTAGTGCACAGATTTTTTATCCATAAGGCTGAATTCATGTAATGGGGAAACATTTAGTCCTGTATGTAGCTTGGGCTGTGTTTTTATTGTTGAACTTTAGTTAATTAAAGTGTCAGCTATCCTTTTTCCCGTTTTGACATTGCACCATGTTTTCACCACTTCCTTTGTGACACTGTGGTGAACAGGATCAGGAACTGATCAGCTGATCCAGCTCAAAATTAACTGGAAGGCAAACAAACAAAAGGTCCTTTTTTTAGTCAGATTTGCTCCTTGACAGGCTCAGTGCACAACCCCCAAGAGAGCTGCTGCTGGCATGACAGAAAGTGTACAATCTTTTGGCWAGGGCAGGGCTGGGAGAAGGATGGGACTGCCTCCTTTGGCATTAACTCACCTGCAGATCATTTAAAGTCATTAGTGAAATTATAGCCTTGCACAACTGCCTGCATCAATGCTGGATGAAGTCCTTGGAATTATAACCACTTGCATAAGGTCAGTGCACGGAGCTCATAGTGTAGGGGGAGAAAGACGTTCTAGGAAATCATCCTGAAGAATACCTAACTGCAACTCAAGAATAAATGTGCCCAGTAATGAGCAGAGAAAGGAAGCCTTTCCTGCTGAGAGAAAAGGAAATAAGGCCCTAAAATCTGAATCCAGGAGCCAAGGAACTGTCTTGAACTGTCCCTTTGAAAGAGGGAAGGGTTCGGCGCATACACGAATAAGGTGTATACTGTATGCTAAAGGTAGGGACATCTCTTGACACTCCTGAGTTTCTTACATGAAATGATGACTCATAAAGATCAGATTAAAGGTCAGAGAGAAGGTCATGTATAAATTTAATTCCTCCTAGAGCTACTCATAGCCCTCCTTGTGGCAGAAGTCATCCTGATAGAAAGCAAAGTCGGGGCAGATGCACAGGCATGTGTGTCAGAGGTGGAGAGCAATTGCTAAAATGATGTAAATCTGCAAATATTGTTCAATTCCTTTTATTTTAAGAAATTCTGACAGAATTTTGTTATATTGGTGTATTTAGCCAGGGACAACCCTCTACAGTTAGAAACCAGCATCTTCAGTAGCTTAGTATTTTGTTTCCTTTGTTTTTACTGAATACAAGTAACAGTCAACAAAATCTGCCTCTTTACACTCTTGCCCTGGTGAAAAGCAGAGTGCTGTGCAGAGCAGGCTGTTCTGTGCACAGACACATCATGAAAGAGTCACTCTGTGCCATTCAGACACACACAACTCTAACTAGCACTTGCTTGTGTGGCGAGTAAATTCTCATTATCACCTCTCCGACAGGAAATTTGGAAGTGGGTGATTATACAGCCCCAGGTCTTCAACCTCTCCAGCACCTCGGAGAGTGCGAGCTACTCAAGTGAATTTGCATCTTTCCAAACAATTACATTTCTCACTCTGCAGGCAAAAGTGGGAGTTGGCAAATATATTTTTCTCAACTGCTCCCTCACTATCCTTTAAAAATACAAATACTTTTTGTTGTTTTCAAAGACATGCTGCTTCTAAAGTTTCTCTGTATTCAGGTAATTGCAGGCTTTTCTGTCCTAGATATGGTTCTAAAGACTGTAAAATGAAAATAGTCTGAAATTTTCATGCCTGAGCATGTTAAACTTCTTAAAGTGAGCGGTTTTAGGGAACTAAGCTACTATACAAACAAGTGCTGGTTTTCCAAGAATTTTCCTGTCCGTTCTGCATCTATTTTTAGAGTGTGGTTTCCTTGCTAAAGGAAGGAAATACATTCCTGTGTGGCAATCTACCAGTGGGAAAGTGCTGTGAGGTGAGTCCTGTCAGTCAGCACAGAGCTCCTGGCCCTGGGCACAAATCCAGAGAAGTTTCTTGCCAAGGAAGGAGTTTGTACACCCTGTGAGCTGTGTCCACCTGTTAGGCATTGTTTGCTCATGGTTTGTGTCTCACACTACAGACGTATTTGCCACAATGAACTGTTTACAGCGGTTTAATGGTGAATTCTTGCAGTTGCCACCGAATCCACTGGCAAACACATGCAGATCCATGTATTTCCCCCCTTTTGTCTGCTTTCTCTGGAAAGGTTTTCTTTCCCTGTCTGCCTCCAGCCAGGGGCACGCAGTGTGGATTTACGCTCTGCAGCACCGTGCTATGTTCAGTGGCAGCGTTGGACTGTGTTGCTTTGGAATTAGCCAAATAACTCAAGTTGTCCCCTCAGAAAATCAGCTAGTGTAATCTTAAAATACTCTGAGGAAAGGAATATTTGAAAAGAGTTGTGAGAATGATACCAACGCCATTATTCTTTTGGTTACAAACAGTGATGTCAGTGTGAGAAGAGCATTGTTTGCTGAGTGGCCTAATTAGGTATTAGAACTGCCTGTCTCTGGTGATTGAGACATTAGCAAATTTTCAAGTTCATTCCAGATGCTTCAGTTTTGTATATAGTGATATTTCTAATGCATGGCACCCCTTGAGGAGTGGCAGATATTATATTATCAGATATAGTTTATGTGAAACTGTTTCCTACAAGATTGGCATTTGGCATGGATGACTGTCTCTTCTGGCTTAAAATAATCATGAAGTGCTGTGCTATGCACAGTAGGAACTGCTAAAAAGTTACAAGTTCCCAAACCACTCATGTTCTGCTGAAACTTGAACTTGCCTCTAACCAAACTTCACYCAGGAGAGCGTCTCATCCCCCACCTCTGCTCTTCATCTGCCACTGCCACTCAGAGAGCTCACTGCAACTGAGGCTCTTTGAAACCCAAACCATAACCTCAGTGCAGCCCTGCCCCTGCAATTCAGATACGGCTCTATGATTTGAAAAACAGGCCTCTTGTCTGACAGATAAATTTTTAAAAATCTCCATTAAACCATCTGTTCAATCTATTTTCTAAAAACTAGCCTGTATCCATTTGCTTCTCCCCTGAGAACTAATCCTGCCCCACAATAAAAACCCTAAAATCAGAACTGATAATTTGGCTGACAATACATGAAGAGCTCTGCTGCTTAATTAGTTCTGCAATGCTGCTGACAGTAATTACAGCCTTCTTTTGTGTCAGTAACGAAGTCAGCAACCTTCAAAAAAGATTCAGGGTCTTAGTTGTCATTTAGTTATGTCATTTCTGCATCACTGTAATTTCAGTGATAACGGTGGAATTATCTTTAGTAGCATAAATTAAAGGAGAATCACATGTCCAGACATGTACACAGGGTGGGGGAAGTTGGGTTTGCAGTCACATTTCTGATTTGGAGCATATTTAAAAAATATATATMAAAAAATACAAGCACTGGTCAATTTTCCCTGGGAAATAATTCTAAACTTATGCTTTGCACAGGCTTTTGGAGTCTTTGTTAGTAGCTTTGGGAACAAAAATTGCACTTCTTGACAATTGCATCAAGCGTTCATTACTGACCTTTTAAAGAGTTAGGAATCCAGCAGTTTGAAAAGAGGGAAGCAAAATTGCAATCAGAGAATCAAATGTGCTCCTGTATTGTCTGTTAGATGTGGCCATCTGGATTTGAAGGAGACCTTTGTGGAACTTCATGGAAGAGGTGTCTGAGTGCAGTGATGGTTGATAGACCGAGAGGGTGTGAGTGGAGCAGATTTGGATTATCGTCATGGCTCGTGCTGCCTTTGCAGCTCGTGGAAGGTGCCGTACCACCCAGGCAAAGGGGAACGGGAGAAGATGCAACTAGCGAGAAAGTTATTAGAGCAGGGTGAAGTTTTGTGACTGAAAATTTGTATTTTACTGAGTCCTCTTTAATGTACGACTTTGGGTCTTTCAATGTGCTCTCTCTCCATGCCTCGTCACAGGACTGTGTGAGAGTTAACAGGGATCATGCGAACGGCGAGATGCTTAGACTAGAAGCATTATAAAACCGAGTATTCTACCGGCGTGAGTTCGCCGCCAGTGAGTGACAACTCCGCCGTCAGTAAATGACAACTCCGCCGTCAGTAAATGACAATTCAGCTCCGCCGTCAGTAAATGACAATTCAGCTCCGCCGTCAGTAAATGACAGCGCCTCCCCCAACCCCGCCCCTCGCCCCGCCCCTCGCCCCTCGCTCCGCCTCTCGCCCCGCCCATCGTCCCCCGCCCCTCGCCCCGCCCCGTCACGCGCGGCGCTGTGGGCGGGGCCGGGCGGGTGTCCGGGTCACGTGACGGTGCCAACATGGCGGCGCCGTGGCGGCGGTGCCGCGGCTGAGGGAGGTTGGGGTGTCCCGGTGGTGCCGCGGGCCCGAGTGCCCGCCCCGCTGCCGCTGCCGCCCCCGCCCCGCTCCGGGCACGCCATGCAGCCCCCGGCCCGCGAGCAGGATGCCCGCACCAAGAGCGTGTTCGTGTCGCGGGCCCTGGAGAAGATCCTGGCCGAGAAGGAGGCGAAGCGGCCCCCGCACGGGCAGCTGCGCAGGGCCTGCCAGGTGGCGCTGGGTGAGTCGGGCCCGGCCGCGCTCGGCACTTGGGAGCGCAGGGAAAGTTCTCCCTTCCGCACAGGACGTGCAAATACCAGGGRAACCCCCTCCAAATAGCTGTTTTATTAAGTTCTGGTCTCGGTATGAAACGGAAGGGGTTTGGGCTTGCCACTTTGGTTTTGAGAAAATCAGTTGCAAACTTTTAGACTAGAAAACAAGACTTTTTAATGCCCTTGATTTACGGAGTCCCCGAGCTTCCCGGGCTGTTAAATCTGACCTCTAATCTCCAGGTCGTGTTCCTGGCTAAGGAGAGTTAGTGTGGCCAAGTCAAGTACGTGTAATGTCTCTGATGTGTTCAGAGCTGAAAGCACTCTTAGTGGAGTCGGTGGACTGGTCCTGAAATCTGCAAGAACGAGCTTATGTAAAGGTTTCTGTTAAAAGTTCGACAATGTAGATGAGTCACAAAGAGGGAAAAGATAAAGTGGGTAGAACAGTAGAGCTCTGCAGCTGGAGTTCTATGTGACCATTTCTTTATTTGTGCAAGTGACATTGCTCTTTCAGTTTTCGTTGCTTTCCATCAATATTTTCCTTTGAATTGGGAACATTTCTTGTAGCCAGGACAGAAATTGGATATGTAAGAAGGCTGGGCAGGTGCAATTTCTGTCCCAGGCAGAGTGAGAGTGAACTTAAAGAAATGCTGTCATTTTTATCTTTCTCCCTAAAATCTTTGCTGTCAGAARATCTGTACGAGCTACCTTTAGTGACAGTGTATGCAGAGAAAGATAAGCGGATAGAAGGATATTTTAATTGTTTAAAGTTTTTGTTGTAAGCAACACTGCTGTGTGCCCCAGTAGTTAGAGACTGCTTTTCCTAATGAATTCCTTTTCCTGATCTCTTCCCCAACTGCCCCCACATGCATCGAGCCCATTTACAGGACTGAGAACCTGTTTTGCTGCTATGTAAATGTATTTGGAGGTTGAGAAATGGAACTTCCTTGTAAGATGCCTAGTGAAGGTAACTCCTGAGAATTTAAGTAAATCACTACTGAATATTGCTGTTTCTCCATGTAGGAAATATAGGCATCCTTTTATTCTAATTGTGTTCTGCTTTAATTGTTCTAAATTTAAACTCTTCTTATCCTTTTTTCCCTGTTATTTAGTCCTTTCACTGAACTTATACCAATCAGTTTTGGACTGCAAAATACACATGACCTTGTAAGATCAGAAGTAAAATAGGCTCAAGTAGGACATAAACACAGGAAGTGTGGAGAAAAAGGAACAAAACCAGTTCTCAGTGTTTTTTTTGTGAGTGTGGGTTTTTTTTTTCCTCTTTCCACCCCTTCCTTTGAAATACACAGTGCTAATGTTAAGTAAGCAGAGTTTGAATAGATTCCTTCATTCAGTCTCTTGTTTCATCAGTAGGTGTAACGGTTGTCTCCTGTACTTGTAGTGGCAGTAAAGCCCAGGAGAGATTGGAAGAAATGGAGGGTTTTAAACAGAGAAGCTGTTCTGCTCTGCTTTAGAAAACTGTTTTTAAAAAAATATGTCTTCAATAGAACATTGTATTGTATAAAAATAGTTGTTTAATACGCATTTATGTGGACCTCTAGGTCCACGTGATTCTTAAAAATCTACGGAAATTATCCTGAAAAATTTGCAGTGGAACACTGACAGCCTGTATCACAGCAGTTCATATTAGTCTAATGCTAATTGTGCACCTGAGTCTCTCACATAAACTATTATTCCTGCCTTAGTGGGACTGTTTTAAATGGCATATTGTGCAGCCAACGTGGTTTTGTGGCCTTCTTTGGTTGCCTGGGCAGCTCCCCATCCATATCTTTGAGCTTTGTAAACAACAGAATTTGTTTAGTTAGCTTGTTAACAAGTTTAAAAAAACCCTTTCCAACCATGCCTTCACTTAGGAATCTGGTTTTGTGTTTATGAAGTCTGTGTATAAATGAGAAATGTCCAAATTAAGTTGAGTTTCCCAGTTGGTCTCTTGGTCAGCGTGTTTAGAGAGCGCTGGGGAAAAGAGGAGACTCTGGTTGCCCATGGCAGGCTTTTCTGGAGGGCTCTCTAGGGATGGATGTGATCCGTACCTGCSGGCTGCTGCCGTTTGGATGACGTGAAGGCAAGCTGGAGTTGGGCAATGCAGTCAGCTTTACTGGCCTGGAAGGGGAAGCTTTGGCAGCTCCTGCATGTGTTTGTGTTGGCACTGCTGCTTGGCCGGGCTCTGGAAGGACATGGCCTGTGTCCTGGTGCCAGCACAGGCCATTTTCTGTACAGGAGCTAGCTTGCTGCCACTGCCACAAACCTGACTGTGCGTCCTCAGAGCAGGCATTGGGCTGCAGGCAGACAACCAATGTCCTCTGTTTTAATGTGTATTTTCAATACAAGCAAACGGAACCCATCCGTCTGCTACAGAAAGGCAGCAACTCAGTGTGAGCTTCATCGTGCTTTTATGGCCAGAAGCTCTGGAAGAAATTGCTGCAAGGCCATTCTTGTTCCAGTTCTGTTGCCTGGTAGGAATGCTGCAGGACTTCTGTTGGGTGGGCAGGGGTTGAAGATGTTTCTGACTGAAGGAGATGCCACGAGAGTGACAAGGAGCTCCAGTACCTAAAGCAGCAAATGAGGGGTCAGTGTGGTACTTTGGTCAGATGCTGACCAAAATTTGGGCTGTGTTCTATATCTGTGAAGGGGAGTGGAGCTGTGCCCCTTACTTCTGTGACTGGAGGAGAAGAGTGCCAGTGGCAGTTGGTTTCTGAAAGCTGGTGGTGTCTGGTTAGGGCTTGGCAAGCTGTTCCTGGCAACAGAGTTCAATTAGGCAACATTTCTGTTTCACTCACTTGTGATGGTCGGACAACTAAATGAGCACTTCAGATGTGGAGGTTTTCAAACTATTTTGATGCAATCAGTAGCAGAGGCATGCATCTAACTTCATTTTATCCTTTCATTTACTCTTTTCTGATAGCATTATCTATTAACAATACTGTTGTAGTGAAGATGTCTTTATATAGCTTTAGAAAAGCTTTTATTGTAGCAAAACCTTAGAAATCGTTGGAAAGCCTTGCTAGGATCTTTGGGATCTGCTGTTGTGTACAAGAGAAATGAGAAAGGAACTTTGTTTCCCCTTGTATTTAGTTTTATGAAAAACTCTCTGCAAGTGTAATTAAAAATCTGCTGGGAAAAGGACAGGTTGCATTTAAGAATTGCTGTCTCCTGGGAACTTGTCTGGCTGATTCCTTTGTAAGGCTCAAGACAAGCTGGCTGGCACTGCAGGTAACGGGAAGGGCAAATGCATTGAACTTGTGATTTATGCAGTAGCTCAAAGGTGTGGACTGTGATGTGGACTGACATTTGAATAAAAGTTGTGTACTATGCCTGAGTATTGTAAAGATACGTTTTCTTGAGAATGTTTGGAAAAAGCAGCTTTTTAAATGTGAAGTTGGAGAGATAAACCTTTCAGTAAGTGGTGAAACTGTCTGTGATATCTGAAGCTGAGGCGTTGTAGGGATGGAGTAGCAAATGCTGAAGTGCAAGACTTGATATGAAACAATATTGCTTTATTACTGTGTTATTGATAATGATGGTGAAGGCTTGAATTTTTTTCTTTCTTCCAGATGAAATAAAAAGTGAACTGGAAAAGCAAAGGTAAATGATTAATTACTATAAATAGTATGTGAAAAGAACAAATGGAATTATTCTGTGTAAGTGTAAGAGTGTATACACATTACAGCAGGGAGTTTGTAAATACCAGTTACCCCCTTTCTGCCAAGGGCATATGCCTTGTGTGTTTTGCTTACACAGTGTTTGTGGCTGYGAGTACTCAAGCCATAACTGCCTCTGAATTTCACCCGGAAAAAATTGCAAAATTTCTAAAAAGTGCCAGTTTTTTTGCTTCCTTTTACTGGACTCAATAGCCTGATAGGAGGTCACGGGAGCAGTATGTATCCTCCGTTTGACAACATGTGCTCTTTTTTACCTAGATCAAGAACACCAATTTAAATATTACTTAAAAAAGTTTTGAAACAGTTTTCCAACATGGTGCAATGATTAAAAATGAACAAATAGGCCTCCAAATTGTTTCTATTTGCTTAGTATTCCTCTTATGGGCTCTGTTTAATCAATTTTGAGTAACATAGATAGGTTTCTCAGTTGTGTAGGAGTTTTCCAATATTTCAGATAGTGGGACAGTGTTGGAGTATATGAAGAGTTAAGCTGAAGAAGATATGAAAAAGATCAGACAGAATATAAATAAGTGTAAAGTGGGTTTTGTGTGATTTTAAAAGAAAATTGCTCTTCCTTTATGAAAGTATATGCGAGGAAGCTGCAGTACATTTGTATGCTGCTGTGCATTATTTAGCTTTAAATTTAGAGAAAGGAGAAAGTGTAATTTGCTGTGATACACGTGTTTAGAAGAATTAATAACTCTTCTTATCTGACCTAGAGAAGGCACTGCTGCTCCACCAAAAGCAAATTTCATTGAAGCAGATAAATACTTCCTTCCATTTGAGCTGGCCTGCCAGTCAAAGTCTCCACGCATTGTCAGTACGTCCCTGGATTGTTTACAGGTGAGTGTTGTGCTCCAGTGTGCTCACAGTGCGATGGAGAACCGTGCAGTGATCAAAAGTGGTGTGCAGCTCCT